AAAAAATGTTAAGAGACTTAAACCAACCAACAAGGTGGTGAAGCAAATGAAATGTCATATGACGACAAATATAGACACTTCTCCATGGCAAAGATGAGACAAGTTTTAAATATTTACAATAGCCGTAAACAAAAAGGTTTGGGAAACCACTCCCCGAAGAAATGAAAAACAACCCTGACTTAGAGAAAGACTATATATTTAATAATTTAGTCAAAAAGAGACAAACAAGAAAGAATGCCGGGCTTCAAACTTCAGAAAGGTGACAAAGTAAAAATAGAAATACCTAAACGCGACCCATATGAAATACTATTGACTATGACAACAATGGGAACCCGACAGGTACTACATTCGTGTTCGTAAAAATAGAAGAAAGTATACAAGAGAATATTATGAAGTTTTAGGCAAACATGCAAAATGTACACACTGCAAGCAGAAGATAAAACTACTATTGTCAGACCTCGTTTCAAACTTGTCAAAGTTCAAGGTGGTATACTTTCAAAGACAGTTCCTAAAAATATAAGACAACTCCTGACGAATATGCTAAAGAAGTTGAAAATGACGACTAAGCATTTCTATACCATGCGTAAACTGTCATGTAAGGTGGCATGTAGTCTTTACTTTGTCCCGTTGTTTGCGTATATCCTGTAACGCGATGTGTATGGTTTCCTCCTCCTCAGTGTTACTCCAGTAACAATCTATAGCAAACTTAACGTTGTCTTTAACATCATATCCTTTACCTTTTGTCATTGCTGACCAATCCCAATATCTATGCTTATGCCAACCTGCTTGAGATGTACTTAAATCTATGTAGTGACTATGTGCAGGTAAATTTTCACCTGAAATCGTTTTACTTCCACCTGTTTCCTTTGAAGAGTTTGCACAATACAAAAACCTGTCGACTATTTGAGTCCAAGTTCCAAAACCCAAAACTGTTGCTGGATTTGTTGAATTCAATGACGTATAAATAGAGCCTATAGGATATAATGTTTGAAGCATTTCTGTCTTTAATGTTTGAAGCTCTGTTTTGTCTGCTTTCTTGTCATATAAATCTTGAGCAGTGAATTTAATATTATGTTCATCCTTCATGACATAAACATCTTTACATCTAATGTTTTTCATCGTCGTTATGTCGTCATCCGATGTTAAACCTTGTGGAAAGTTAGGAGGTTTACAATATAATGCATCCCCACCAGTTTCTTCAACCGTTCCTTCAATACTTTCTATAGCAACAGTTGTAAAACTTGTATGTGTATGAGTCTTATTTGCTTTCTTCTCTAACTCATCGTTAACATAAGTTTTATCTGCTTTAAGGTCTAAACATCCTGAAACCCATCCTGTATCGGCTTTAGTTTTTAAAATCTTCGATGTCCGTTCATGGTACCAGTCAACCCTTTCTATAATTTCTTTATCTTTTTCATCCACATATTCCTTATCCGCCTTCTTCACTAACACACTAGCCATAAGTCCCTTATCTACCTTATTTTCAAGGCTAACGTTTAAGTCTGTTATTTCAGATATAGAATGTGTATGAGTCTTTTTAGAATATTCGTTTTCAGCTCTTGTCACTTCACTTGACATTTTATTGTCAACATATGTTTTGTCTGCTAGTTCAGGATGAGTATGTTCTTTTGTTGCATAAGCATTGTTAGCTCTTTCTTCTTCTTTTGCTATTGCATCGTCTACATATTCTTTGTCAGCTTTGTTGTCAACATCTGCTTTCAAAAGAAGTTCATTTATAGGTTTCTCGTTTAAAGTTCCTTTTGTTGGATTTATACAGACAGTATTGTTCTTCTTGTCTTGAAATAGAAACTCATCTGTCATTGGGTTTAATGTCAGTTTTAAGTTTCCTTCTTTCAATGACTCAGATATCTTAGAATAGTTTGAAAAGTTTGTTGTGTTCTTATTTAGAGCTTGCATAATGAGTTGTCGGTTGTGTTGTATTTCTCTCATAGAAGCAATATCTTTCGACATTTTTATTCTAGATAAAATATGCTTCCAATAGAAAAAGAAAATTCAAGAGTTGCTACAACTAAACCATTAGATGAACTTTTTACTAATGTCGGTCAAAAGTTTGAGACAGAGACCGTAAAGCATGAAGGCTATCGTTTTGACTACCCATTAAGATGGCTAAGAGACCCATCTGTCACAAAAGCTATTGACTTTCGTAGAATGAAGTTTGTGTCTGTAGAAGATAAAAGTTTTCCATTTATTGTAAGGTTTCATATAGATTATATATCTGAAGGGAAACGAAAAATGTGGGAAGAAATTGAGCTAATACAAGTTGACCTTTCATCTTCTCTACAGACTGCGTTAAAAAATATAGAAGATAAAATAAATTCATGTTATGCAAAATATGCTGATGAATATGCAAATACCGAGAGCACACTTTATGTGAGAATTGTATATGACAAACAAAATTCACAAGTGTCATTTCAAATCTACGAAAACAATCCAAAGAAAGACGAACAAATATATACAGAATTCACTGCAATGTCATGGTATTATTTGCAAAGAATGTTAAATCAGAAAGTCAAACTTCCTTTAGCAAATATTTACAGTCGATATGCAAGAGATGAACCATATTTATTTAAAGATGTTTTCGACCCAGCTGCTATTATTGTTCATGCTTCATTTTCTGGCGCTCAAAACTCTTTCTTATGCTTGGCAAATGACTTTTACGAAAAACCTACAAAGTTATATGAACCGCCGAGTGGAAGTATTTCAGACTTTCAAGTATGGTTTACTACAGATGGAAGAAAAAGAATAATTCCATTATACCATGCGTTTTACTTAGAACTTAGTTTCATATACAACTACTATCGAACGGTAAAAATATAATTTTTTAATACGGTTGAGGTGTTGGATTTGGTTGCCAACTAGACTGTGGTGCAGGTTCAGGCTGTTGTATAACAGGAGCTTGTTCTTCTGGTTCAGGGTCTTTAGGTATAATACCAACAAACTGACCTACTCTTTTACCAATATTTTTGACTCCGTTCCAAATTCCTCTTCCTACGGTTTTTATTCCATTCCATATACCTCTTCCAACATTTCGAAAGAAGTTTCCTATCTTACTGAAGAAACCCATTTTACTATATGTAAAAATCTAATGTCCGCCTAGTCTCTTACGTTTCCTGTTGAGTTCCATAGCATTCTTTAACTGGAGCTCATACATTCTGTTTCTCCTCTGGTAGAAAACATATTCTGGGTCAACTCCTGTGTTCGCGTCATCTGCATAAAGTTGTTTATATCCCACTTCAGGGTTTGTATAAAACTCTTTCCATCTCATATTTGCATACCATGGTGGCAAACCTAACGCAGCGTCATTTGACATGGCAGTTTGCATTTGTACATCTGTTGGCACTTGACCATAGTTTGCCATTGCAGTTTGTATTCTAACTTCATTTGGAATATTCTCTGGGTTTGGTTGTCCAGGTTGCTGTGCATTCGCTAAGTTCTGTGCGTCCATTTAATATTAGATAAAAATATCTCTTACGAGTACATATACTGAACATTTGCAGGCATTGGTTCATCTTCATATTCTCTGTACTTTTCTGCCACGTCAAAGAAATAAATGACACAATGGAAAAAACCTAAAACAAGTAGTCCGATTTCAAACCACATTTACTTACTAATAAAATTTCTTTGTTATGACACTTTCTCCAGTTTATAGGACCTCTCTCATATTCTATCTTGTCATATATAAACTCATAGTCATGTATGTCCTCTAACCATCTCATAACGGTTTCCAAACCACTTTTATCGGATGTAAAGTAAAAGCATGGATGGTTATGTAAAACGTCTAAAGTTTCTAAAGAGTCTCTCAAAGTCCAGTCTACTTGGTATTGAAAATCCCATGTGTTATAGAACGGCGGGTCCACTATAAAGAAAACATTTTCCTTGTCTTTATATTTTTCATACAACTCTGTCCAATGACATCTCACAAACTCTATACCCTCAATATATTTTTCTATGTCCTCTTTGAAAACATTTGTATAGTTAAGATATAAACTTTTGACATAAGTGTTTCAATGTCATGAACTCTTATAGCACCACTATATAATAGTCTAGCAGATATACTATCCCAGTCTATATATTCTGCTTTTTTCAAAACCTCTCTCACAATATTTTTCTTATCTAATGGTATACGTTCCATCTTACCTATAGGTATCTTTTCTTTTAACTCTTTCAATATATTGTTTGTGTCTGGTATATGTTTGAGACGGTCCATATAGTTGTCGAAGTCATTGCATATAATCTTTGAGTCTGGGAATATTATATGGCACAAATGGGATATATAGAAACTTCCACCGAACAAATCTACAAATGTTAGACCATTCGGTAGTTTCTTAAGTTCTCTCAATATAATATCTTTACATTTACTCTTATTTCCAAAGAACGGTAACGGTGGTTTTGTAAAATTCATTTATATATAATAATAAAAATGTTTTTACCCGAAAAGTGACAGAAAAGTGACAAAACATGAAAACATATATAATTTGTGAAAAGCGACACATTATATAATGTTTTCGACCCAGAAGAAGGCTTCTTCCCAGAAGCAATGGAGGAAGAAGAAGAGTCCTCCGAATTCACACCAGAAGACTAACAATTTTCCGAATAAAAACTTCATTTATACTAAACATCTTCGGGGCTAGAGGGCACGAAGTGCCTGGAAGCCCCACTACCTTTTTTTTTTTTTTTTTTTTTTGCGTGATGAAGTGGAGTTCTACAATTTTTATCTTTAGTTTTGGTATCTGGACCGTGCATAATACGGATCTCGACTATTTCTTTACTGTTGCAGAATACCACTTAATGAAGTAGAGCTTGATTATAATTATCTTTAGCAATGATATATCGATCTTAGTGAAAATTATTGAATTTGGAGGAAAATTCTTTAAAAATCGTTACCATGCAGCTTAACATCATATCAGCTAGCATAATTTCGCCATTTTCATTATTGAACCAAAATTTTGTACGGACAGTTTTGACAAAAATCTTTTTCGATGTCTGTTGACTTTTACCTTGAACATGTAAAAGGTATTCTTGATGAAGTCAAAGGCGACATGAAAAAGATTGAATCTGATAAATCTGAATGGAAAATCACAATAATTGACAACATGCTCGATAAAATTCATGGAGCCAAAGAATCTTTGAAAGAAATACAAAGCGAAATGAATTTAGTACCTACTACAGAAAAGTATAACGTTATGAAATCGGTCCAACAATATTCAAATGATATCGAATTAATCGAAAATTCACTTAACAACAACAGACAGCGATCTCAATTGATGGCTGGTGCTACACCACAATCAATGGGTGTCCAAGAATCGCTGATTGGCATCTCTCAGACAATGAGCGAAACAAATAATATCGGAAATGGAATTTTGACACAGTTATCGAACCAAAGAAACAAACTTATGCACGCACATGGAAACGTTCATCAAATAGATGACACAGTTTCTCAAGCAAGACAAGTTGTTCAAAGAATGATACAAAGAGCTAATCAGAACAAGCTAATTGCATACGGATGTGTTGCTTTGTTAGTTATTGGTATCCTTTTAGTACTTTATATTTACTTTTAAACTATATTAATGTTTGGAAAATTTATTAAATATTCTTTTACTTTTCAACCGCTTTTTCATTTAAAGACACTTTTTAAAAGTATTTTTGGTGTTTTCTCATTAATAACAAATTGTTTCTGCTTAAATTTTACAAAAAATATGAGATTAAAGGGTTTTTAAATCATTTATTGTATAATTTCAGAATACATTGCACTGAAAAGGAGTTTTCAACGCGTTTACTATCTAAAACGAAGCATTATTTCGGATATAAATTTAGATTAACAAGCTATTCATCACAAATCCTATATTTGAAACTTCTTAGGTTATCAAAAGCTAATTTTGTGATGTTTATATAATCGGAGATATTTTTTCAAAAAAAAAAATAAAAATTATTTTTAAAATATATTGGATTAAATATGTTTAGACTTTAGTATTTAAAGTATGTGTAAATTTGATTGTTAAACCTCCTTTTTTAATTATATATAAGCTCTTTAAAAAAATATCACATATTATAAACTAAAAATTACTGATCAATAACAACCAAGTGGAAGAATATATTGCCTCTCAATTGGTAACCGACAATTGGCCATCTGATGGCGTTTCCGATCCATTGGGCGTATCCCAAGAGAGCAAGAAGTTCAATTGGGAATTCATCGGTCATGCAGTAGTATCTTTCGTATCCGTAGTAAATGTATGCTGCAACATTGGCACAAAGGAATAAATCGAAGAGATAAAGCCAAAATCCAATGCTTCTGCCAATAGAAGCGCAGCAAATATCAACAAGAACGAATAAAACAGGCTGGAGAGAGTAGGCCATGGCGTGATAAACTAACTGGTTCTTTGGAAAACGGGCGATGTAAAATGCTGCCATAATATGAGCGAAAAGGCATGGATAGGAAGCAATTGGATACATCAAACGTGCTAATTTGTACATGAATGGTTTTGTTTTGCGTGGAGCTGCTCTTCTTAAGAATTTGAAGACATCTCCTGTAAGGAAATAAAGAGAAAGAGTTGTGAAGAATGTAGCCCATCCATTGATTGTTCTGGCTGATGCTGTTGAAATGAAAGCGATAGGAACGACGATTGTTGTGTCAAATTCGCCCTTTATATGCCAATCCCATAAAATAATTAATATGAGTGACATGAGAGGGGCTATACAGCATGTCCAGTAAAGATACTGTGGATACTGGAAGATAGAATTGAATTCAAAAGCCATTTATAATTTTTTTTTCGGGAATAAAAAAACTGACAATTTCACTCCGAAATGGATCCTTAGTGTTCGTTCTATTAAATTACAGAAATTTCTAATAATGGATCTGAAAAATTGAAATTTAGTAACAATTGCTAACAGAATTGATTAAATGCAAATAATGCGATATATCTATAAGAAGATTATTGTTGGGTAATCATAATTCAAAGCTTGGGTATTAAACAGATATATCCAACACAAACACTTAATATGAGTAAGCAAAAAATGGCATATTAATATCAAATCATGTAGGGCCTTAATGAAGTAATTTATATGTGTTCAATGATTATAAAAGTTTTCGTGTTTTTTGTTCATTATGATTAAATTGTCAAATCTTAACAAATAAAGCTTGATAAAATATATATTGATAGAATTTAATGTTTATCCTGCGTAATCGGGCTAACAATTGGTACGTATTATCATAAAGTATAACAATGTAATGTCAACAAGCGAATTTTTGAAAAATCAATATTTGCTATTTATCCATAAGCTAGCGAACAGCGGGAAAGGATCAGAAAGATAGAAAATGTGCTTTGTTGCAAAGTGTTACTTTGTATTAGACATCTTGCGTTAATTATTGTAGTGATTTGAAATTAAATGAACTGATTTTTGGTTGAATGGGAAATATCGTATCGTTAGATTGTTGTAGTTATGATTTTACATTTATTTCGATAGTATCGAAATTCAATTGTTGTCCTTCAAATTCAATACGCCCATACAGCAAAAGTGTTTACATCATCATATATTGATTCATATCTGATAAAAATTTGAAAAACTGCTAACTTTACAAAATAAAAGATGCATAAAACGAATAGTATTATTTGGTGGTCCTTCATGAGAGCAATTTATCAGGGCACCTCATAAAATATAAAAGTTCTGAATTTTTGTGAACCCCATCGATTTTTTGAATACTGCAATCAAGTCACTTCTTCTGAATGCTTTGCTCATTTTCTAACTCCCGCTTCTTCAAGCTCACAGTTGTTACACCAGCTGGTGAGAAGGTTCCAATTAACTTCAACGATGGACAGACTCTCTTTGATGCTGTTTCAGGCACAAAAGCTGAAGGACTTCAGGGCAAGTGCGGCGGCAGCCAAGTTTGCGGTGAATGCCACTGCAAGCTCCCACAGAACCTCTACGTAGCTCCAGATGCTGACGAGAAGGAACTTCTTGCTAGCGGAACAGGTGTTACACCAACATCTCGCCTTGCTTGCCAGCTTTCCCTCAACTCCAAGTTCGATGGTGCTACAATCGAGATGACACACTAAAATATTTAGTAACGGTTTATATGTAATCAAAGAATTACTGAAATTTTTGCAATTTTCTTTTTAACTCGTCGTTTAATAACTAATTACAGATAAAGTTGAATTACATTATTTGTTTCATATAAATTTATTAATTAGATGAACTACGGCATGCGGTCATATTCATTCAACAAAAGTCGAAATACTATGCCCAACAATCGCTAGCTATTATCGAAATGTTGTATCAAGTAGTATCCTTTGTCAACGTGTAGGCAATTGAAATCAAACGATTAAAAAATAGACATTTTTCCAAAATAATTTCAGGCTTATTTGGTATGAAAGTTGATATATGTACGAATATTACTATCCAGTATTATGCAAGAATGCATCATTACTCTGCCAACATGATTATAACCGGTAAATAAATCGTACTAGAGAGCATTCCAAGTAGGGCAAGTACTAAGGTACAATATCTAATGGTGTATGATAGCATAAAGCATTCCATTTTCCTAATAAAAAACAGAATATATTTTATGATTATTGCTACATGTGAATCAAAAAGAGATTAATAAATAATACATGTAATATAACAGATTTTTAGGCAAATTATTAGTTAATATTAAAAAATAAAAGAATTATTCTTCAGGGCCATCCCAACCCATGATATTATCTATATAGTTGGTAATATTGTGGTCCATAAGGCCACCCATTACGGCCATTACGTTAAATGGAGTTGCTTCATTGAAAATAGTGAAAGTAACGTTTCCGTCAGGAGTTGCTTGTATGTGGTAGCATGATCCTGGCATAAATAACTCTGTTTCTTCAGGGCGTTGTGACATTTGAAGTAATCTTTGTACTAATGAAGGTAATTTTTGTGCCAATTCCTGATTGCTACCTGCCTGCATGTATCCTGATTGCTGCATGATGCCGAAAAGCATTTGGTTGATCATTCCTGTCAACATTGCAGCATTTTGGTTTGGTCCTGGTGGACAGAACATAGATACGAGCATTCCGATTGTACGAGAATTCAAATGTGGTACAACATCATTGTTGTAAACGAATGACATGATGTATTTCTTTGTTTCTTGGACAAGATTTGATGAAAGAATTGGGAAAGGAGCCATGGAAACAGCGTATACGTTCTTCAATCCGCGTTCAAGACGTAAAATGGAGCAAATCATTGAAGAAACAGCTCCACCTAAAGAATGACCTGTGCAAATGATTTTTCCACGGCATTCATTGATATATTTGTCGCATTGTTCAATGACCCATCTTGCAGCGTTTAAGATACCTCTGTGAGCTTTTCCGTTGGCTAAATTTTCTCTTTCGAAATCTAAGCAAATGCCGAAATCTCCGGGTTCGCATGCACCTCTGATAGAAATGTAAATGTTGTCATCGCCTTTTGCAAGGAAGAAGTATGGTTTTCCAGATCCATTTCCGCCTCTTGTGATAACTTTCTCCAAAGGAGAAGGAAGGGGCTCTCCGAATGACATGAAATCTTGGATTGTAATGCAGAGACGTGCCATCTCCATATCAACGCAATCTTCAGGTGCTGACATCTAAAATTTTTTGTAACGAAAAAATTTTTTTTCGATAATTGTCTGGCTAGGGTTGTTAGATTCCCGACGATAGGTGTCTTGGAAGATTTACCTGGTGTCATCATAGTGTCTTTAAATCAAAAATTTTATTTTGGAGTTAGTTTTATTGATTTTTCAATAAAAAACATTTCTAAAACAAGAAAATAAAATGATAAAATATTTATATTTTATATAAGGATCTTATATATTTAAAATAAATATCATTTTATTTTTTTCATTGGTGTCTGTCAAACCATAATACACTATTCAAAAATTCAATATGTCTTGCGGTTTCAAAAGACACCTTCAAATTGAACGATAGCACAGACACTATTGAATTTTACCCATTTTATTTAGTTTTTACCCTTTTTATTTTTAAGAATTAATGACTGAAACAGCCGTTTTGCTATGACCTCAATCACTTTTATTTATTATTTTAAATATTATTTAATTTTATTATTTGAATAGGCCAACTTATATTTGAGAAGCTCAATTTGAGACCACTTAATACATTGAAATATCATAAATATTGAAATATTAAAAAGTGTATTTCAAAATATTGAAATTATAAAAATTTATAATACTGAAATTGAGACAAATTAATAAATTCAATGTGTTTTTTTTGAAATAACTCTCAAATATTATTTTTTTGTTTATTTAATGATGAATAAATATGATTGCTTTAGTCAATCATAAAAACTAATTTAAGTTTAAAATAATGAAAGGATAATTTGATCGTTTTTTAAAATACAATTATTTTTGATGATTTGCAAGAATCTTTGAAAAGAATATAATATAGGTTCTATTTTTGTAAAATTTATCCAAATCATGTATTACATAAATTACGATTAAAACGATGAAAGAACCAAAAAGTGTGTTTTGTGTTTTGTTGTTGCGTGTTGGATGCGGGATCCTGTTATTTCCGAAATCGACAAAAAATTTGGAAATTTAATTTCCGAAATCAAAATTATATTAATGTTTTTAATATTCTTATATCAAAAGGATTAAAGTTCATTAAGAGAAAAACAATTCTTCTTCTTCAATCTATTGGCGCATTTATTTCTACACGCCAATAAGGAAGGGAAAATTATAAGACACCATGGTGTCTTCAAAACGCTAATTTTTGATATTTTTAACAACCCTATGTCTGGCTAATTTAGTGCTCAATCTCAGACATCTTCTACCAAGATTATGCACATGAATGACTAACTACACATTAAACCATATGATAACCTTGACGAAAACTAGAAAATTCAATCACTTGAAGTGATTTGATCCAAATTAATTTAACAATTTCAAGATAGTAGATATTTCAGATAATTGATGAGCTTTTTGAACTTGTTATGGGTTCAAACGCTTAGTCAGCCAAAAGAAGTATTGATCAGATTCAATAATATTATCTTGTAAAATTGCTAAACATTGTTCATTCATTCGTATTAATGTTTCTTAGATGTAATATGAGCCAGTGTATATATAAAAAGCTTTAGATACACATTAAAATTGAAGAAGATGAAAAAATAATAGAGTTAATTAATTAAAATAACCAAAAGAAGATCAAAACTGTTTAGTAAACCTGATCGTATTCAGCCTGTGGATCGAAGAGCTGAGCCTTGAGCCAGTCCTTGAGCTCTGTGCCCTTTGGTGGGACAGCTGTAGCAAGGTCCTCCTTGATGAGGAACTTGGCAACATCGAGGGCGATGCCGAAGGAGTAGTCACGGATCTTGTTGAGTGGTGGGAGAAGGTTGCCCATATCGTGGTCTTCCTTCTTAACAAGGGAAGCAAGGGATTCAGCAGCAACTTCGAAGACCTTGCCTGGGCAGTGGCGAGCGCGTGTTGTAACGAGGGCGTAGCCGACAGCTGGGAAGATCCAGGAGTTGTTAGCCTGGGCTGTGATTGTCTTCTTGCCGTTGACTGTCTCGACTGGGAATGGAGAGCCTGTAGCGCAGAGGGCCTTGCCATTGGACCACTGGTAGACATCGTGTGGCTTAGCTTCAGCCTTGACTGTTGGGTTGGAAAGTGGCATGATGACTGGGCGCTCGCAGTTAGCGCATGTAGCCTGGACGATTTCCTTTGTGATGAGTCCTGGAACACCAGAAACGCCGATGACGCATGTAGCCTTGAACTTCTTGACACCCTCAAGGACGGAGCCGTAGACTTCCATGTTGTGCATGTATGGCTTGTTGAAGTCGTAGAGATCCTTACGGCCAGCATGGACCATACCCTTGTGATCGAACATGATGATGTTCTTGTAGGCTTGCTCCTTTGTGATGCCACCGCGGGAAACAGCCATATCAACGATGAGGTTAGCAATGCCTGTAGCAGCAGAGCCAGCACCGATGAAGATGATCTTCTGGTTCTTGAGATCTGGAACGCCTTCCATGTGTGTAGCGGAAGCGAGTGTAGCAGCAGCGACGGCAGCTGTGCCTTCGATATCATCGTTGAAGCAGTTGCAGCGCCAGCGGAAGTGGTCGAGGAGTGTGAAGGCTGTTTCCATTTCGAAGTCTTCGAACTGGACAAGGCATGTCTCGCCAAAGACTTCCTTGACAGCAGCGACGAATTCCTCAACGAACTTTGTGTGAGCTGGGCCACGTATTCTTGGATGGCGCCAGCCGTGGTAGAGTGGGTCGGCGAGGATTTCCTTGCGGTCTGTACCCATATCTAACTGGACTGGGAGTGTCTGGTCTGGGTTAACCTGACCGATGAGTGTGTAGAGCATAAGCTTGCCGACTGGGATACCAAGGCCGGAAGCACCGAGATCACCGAGACCGAGGATACGGCCAGCATCTGTAACGACGATGCAGCGGATGTCCTGGCGTGGGTAGTTGTGGAGGATGTCCTTGATCTTGCCAGAGTCTTCTGGTGTGATGTAGATGCCACGGTATGACTGGCGGTGTGTAGCCCACTTCTGGCAGGCTTCACCGACTGTTGGTGTGTAGAGAACTGGCATTGTCTCCTCTGGTGGGTGTGTGAAGAGGAATCTCCAGAAGGACTGAGAGTTCTTCTCGCGCTCGTTAGCGAGGAAGATGTACTTGAGGAGTGGTGTTGGCATTAATTCGAACTGGCGGCGGATACGAGCAGCTTGTTCATCCTTTGTGAAGACCTTGTATGGGAGAAGGCCGCGGAGGTTAAGGTGGTCACGTTCCTCCTTTGTGAAAGCTGTGCCCTTAGAAAGGTCACCATCCTGAAGGAGGGTCATGCCTGTCTTGGCAAGTGGGAGCTTGCTTCTGCAGATGTTGCGGACTGGATAGCTAACAGATGTGAGCATTCCTAATTCCAAAGTGAAATGAACTTAAAATGTGAAGTTCATTGTTCAGTACTGGCCAATTGACATTCAAATTTGAATCTTTTCAGAATAATTGAGTCCTAGCGGAAAAATATTTTGAGTGAGCTCTCTGAATATTTCATCCATCCATCGAAAGTAGTTTAGAAATAATCCTCAATCAAAGAGGCATATTATTCTAAATTAATATATCTATCGAGTCATTTTTTTCTTCAGTCTATCGTTATTATCTAAAATCATGTTTTTCTTTTAATATATGTATCTATAAACTATAATAAACCTAAATAACATATGTTGTGATTTTTCGCCAAGTTAAGTGGTCAATTATTTTACAAAATTATTCAATTTTTTGAATTCACCGAAATTAATATAAAAATGCCGGCCAAAAAAGACCTAAAAGAGGTAATCTGATTCTGATTTTTTAGTATGTTAATTAGGACTTTCATATGAATCTCATATTTAATTATCGCGATACATCTCTTTTTACATTGATGATCAATTTTATTTTTTTCTTTGGAACCGCAATACTGATGGTGTTTTTATTAAATTAGTCGATTGTATCCTCGAAATAAGACATAGAACTATTATTTTCCAATTGTTGACTTATCGATTACCCTACTTTTCCAACATTTAGAAAACATGCATGACCCCTACCCAGGGTCCAAAAATTGGTATTTTCTGCGCTCAGGCAACATGAGTTTTTGGGCCGCCAAATGAATAGCTTAAATAGTTTCCTCATATAGAGACATGCTTATGCTTAGAGTTTGAAGGGAATCTAAAGTGATTTTTTTCTGCATTTCGAAATCTAATGCAATCTTAAGATCATGATTAAACTGCGAATCTGGGCGCAATTTTTTAATATGTTAATATATGAAGGTACTCCTACTACTGCGAATGCTTCAAATGAAAATTCAAGAAATCAGATTAATTTGATCACATTAGTATAGTAGTGGTCAATCCAAAAACTCATATGTTGATATATAACCTATAGAGATGATAATTATCGACTCTTCATTGAAATGCATAAGATTTAATAATCTCATAAATATTCTTTTTAATTTTCAGTATTTCGTGTGCATTTAGATTGCATATACCTGTATATGATATTTCTAGAATGTTTTGGTTAGATATTAAGTTTTTTAGATTAATATTTTAACATTTTGATAAAACAAGCAATTGTTCCATTTTGGAATCGCGATTGAACTCTAGTTTGACTAATATGATGTTGTATGATCAAATGAATTCTAACTTCATGAGATAAAATTTGAAATTTGAAAATGCGATATCTGACTCAAATATTTATCTGAGCACATTTAACATTCAATTATAAACTAAAGTAATATACAGCAGATTCGATTTGGCTTATATTTTAAATATTCAACAAATAATCTTATAAAATTGTGCTATTCACGTTTCTCAAAGATGAATTAAGCATTTACAACTTGTGCATTGATGGAATTAGATATGGATTCTAATGTTAATCGATATTTTGTAAATTGATATATATTTTATCATGGTTTGACATTTGATCGTGTTGAAACCGGAATTGCAATATGCATCATCTATATATATATAATTGTCAAAATATGAGCTATAGATTTTTAAATTATGCTCCTGATTATGAGTGACTTATATGATTATATTGAATTGAGTAGTAAGAATCATAAATATTAGAATATTACGATAATGTATTATAACCTTA